CCCCCCCCCCCCCCCCCAAATAAAGCCCAAAAAGATAAGCTCCGAAACCCCGGAGGCTGTCGTCCCTGAACTCGCTGTGTGCTGAATACTTGAGACTCCAAAAGAAAGCCCTTAACTGAGGATAACCAAATCTAGGGGCTTTTCTCCACGCTCAGTAGGCATCCTGTTTGTTTGTTCCAGCTTCGTGCTCAAGGAACTCAACATTTCCCACAGCCCTTTCCCCGCTGTGAGCGGAACCCTTAACCCAAAGCCCAAACCGTACACAAGTACGTAGAACACATGCCCACATCCTCTAAGCACCTGAATCATCATCACGAAGAACCTTCACAGGCCTGAGTGAGTCTTACTGTAATGCACGGGGCGCCCATATACAGGGTCTTAACCGCTTGAATAGGATTTTGGGGTATATGGGCACCTAGTTTGATCCTAATCGCTCTTAAGGCCTGGGCGCTGAAACTCAACGCCTTGCAGGCACGAGTTTGCGCTTGGGGTTTAGAGTTCCGGGGTGGCCCTTTGGTTTGGCCCTCATTATTACAGTCATCCACATCATCATCATCATCAGCAGCATCATCAGCATCATCACCATCTTCATTTTTATATTGATGTTCGTCCTTGCCTTAGTCCTGATGCTTGTCTTCATCCTCTTCCAGCATCATCATCATGGTCACCTTCACAATTCGCTTCCTATGGCGCTTTATTGCGGTTTCCAGCTTGTAGTCTGCTTTCGCGGTTCTCTTCCGCAACTACGGAACCCTCGGCCTCCATCGCAGCACTGACGGTGTAGGGTCTTATTTATATAGGAACCTGAATAAGTACGGTAGTACTTGTATTATGCCGAAGCATTCCATAATACAACTACCCATGACTGTGCAAAACTATACCCCAAGACCCCAAGAACTAAGGTCTCCCTGTTACTGGGGCTACCGTTCAGCTCGCCAAGACCAATGCGACATGTAGCTTCTTCATCCTGAAATCGGGTTCCCCTGGGCCCGTTGAAGCCCGTCTGCAAGAGGAGCTGGTCTCCTGCCCTGACCTCGAAACTGCGCTGCCAGCCGACATTGGGAGGTTTTGGGCCTTCAGGGCTTTCGGACCCCCTTAACTCTAACCTAAGCCCTAAACCTCAACCCCTAAACCCTAAACCTCAAACCCTAAACCTCAAACCCTAAACCCTAAACCTCAAACCCCTAAACCCAAGACCCGACTTTCGGACTACGTACCAGATCTCGGGTTCTGCAGGTTTTGGGCTTTTCCTTCTCCGGCTTTGCAGCTTGCCAGTTTAGGGTTTAGGGTCTAGAGTTGAGAGTCTGGGGTCTAGGGTTTAGGCTCGAGGCTCTAGGGTTTAGGGTTTAGGGTTTAGGGTCTAGGGTTTAGGGTTTAGGGTTTAGGGTTTAGGGTCTAGGGTTTAGGGTTTAGGGTTGCGAGGATGAACGTACAAGTCGGTCCTTACTTCATGCCGGGAAGGGAGGGGGGGCGGGGGAGTTCCTGGTCGGCTGAGAGTTCTAGGGTTTCAGGGTGATTTGGGTTTAGGGTTTGGTCTGTTAGAGCCCTAAACCCTAAAACCTGAACCTGAAACCCGAAACCCATACCCTAAACCCTAAAGCCCTAAAGCCCAAACCCTAAACCCTAAACCCCAAACCCTAAACCCTAAACCCAATCCCTAAACCCCAAACCCCGAAGCCTAAACCCTAAACCCCAACCTCCTGAGCCGGAAGGCCCCCCATCGAAGCCCAAGTCAAACTTTCGAAACGCTCTCCGAAACGTAACCTGACAGGCACACATACATACATACGTACGTACATACATACATACATACATACCTAAACCACACTCATATATATATATATATATGTATATATATGTATAATATATATATATATATATAGAGATATGCACATGTATATGCGACCATGTGTATGTATACATACACATACATATATATATAATAATAATAATAATAATAATAATAGTAATATATATATATATATATATATATATAGATGTACATATTCATGTTTATTTATTCGGGTTCAGCGTTGTTGGGAGATGAATGATCATTAACCATCAAGATGTTTAGGTGTTAGGGATTTGGTTCCCGAAACCCTAAACCACAAACACTGTAACGTCGGCCCCACGCCTCGAACGTTCCCCTACGTTTGAAGCCCTTGCAACCCTCAACCCCGAGCCGGGCACATTCCTCACAGCTTCAGGGTTTAGGGTTTAGGCTTTAGGGTTAAGGGTTTACAAAGCCTTGCAAGAAGAGTTTTGGGCTTTCAACTGCAAGAGTTTCCAGGTTCAGGCTTGGGTTACTGTAATTTTTGTCCAGGGTGCAGAGCGCGTAGCAAACCCTTCCTAAAACCCTGCTACCACCCTGGACCACCATAGACTGGCATAGACTAGGGGCTAGAGCTGTGGGGTCGGATTAACTGGCAAAAGTACTTGTTAAGGATTCCCTTGTATGCTTGCTCTGTAGTATACCCGCAGACCGTATTCACATCATCAACCCCCGTATGTTACTCAACCAAAGGCGTCATTGGAGCCTCAAAAGTATTGCCAGGAGGTCAAAGCCGAAGTTCGGCCAGTTGCAGGCGCCTTCGACACTTTGGGGCACAGGGCTTGGGGTTTAGGCGGTGTGTCTTTCATAAGGAAGATTTTGTTGTAGTCTATGCTCTATGAGAGCCTGTAGCTTTGGCAGATCATCCGTGCTATCATCTAGACCATCTAGAGATTCATTCGGGAGATCTTAAATTAACGTAGAAAGCGTAGTATAAGAGTAGCAAGAACATGCCCCAGAACCCTGTTCTGATGGTCATGGCCGCCATATTACACTCACGATGCCTCGTCGCGCGTCTTTGGAGTTGGGATACTACTATGCAGGTTCAGTATCTACTGAAGTTCCATAATTACCTACAACCTCATAGGCCGAGTCCTTGATCCGGTATGAGCCGTAATTGTAATCCCTACTCGCTGAACCGTAGGCCCGATGGTGAGTATCGTGATCACGAGGTATGGGATTTGCGCTTAAGCTCGGTGTGCCGAAGTCTAGGTCTCGGATGGAGCACAACTTAGTGCAATACTGACGGTAGCGGCCAAGGCAGATGCATAGCGCAACCACAGCTTTCAGGGTCTGAGCCCAACACCCCTAAACAGTAAATCATAAAAAGAAGGCGAAGCTCCCCTACTGAATAGACTAGACTGCCCCTGCTGGCCCCAAATCCTACGCCCCTTACTTCCGTAGATGCAAGCATGACTCGCCGCGAATCCCAAAGTCCTTTACTCCAAAAAATCTTACCCCTAAGTGCTAAGCCCTGCACCGTAGATTCTGCACCCAAGTCCCATCGAGCACCGAAAAGTCCTAGATATTCAACCCCTAAATCAAACCTTCTCCGCTCAAGGGGCATCCTACACCTTGAACCCCAATCTCTCCACTCAGAGTACCCTAAACCCTAAACCCTGTGACGGGGTTGGTGATGGTGGTCATCCTAGAGCCTCTACTACATTGCTAGCAGAAACGCACACGACGCAGCTTGATGGATGGATGGGTTGTCATCATGACTCTCTTTCAGATCTTCGGCCTCGGTCCTGTTCTGAAGGGCAAGTGTTGGCTAACAGTCGTCTCGTCTGAAACAGACGTTCCTTTAGACCGCAGGGATGGAGGAAAAGGCGCTCCCTAAACCCTAAACCCTAAACCCTAAACCCTAAACCCTAAACCCTAAACCCTAAACCCTAAACCCTAAATCAAAAACAAAAACTTGAACCCGAATCTCCCCACTCAGAGTGACCTTCTCAGACCGATGCCGTGCAGGTGCCGGCAGTGCAAGGACCCAGGTGGGGATCCCGGTGGGTTAACGAAGTTAGGTAAGAGGGTTTAGGGTTTAGGGTAAGGGCCTTAATAAGTACCAATACTGTTGTGGGGGTCCTTAGTACAATTATAGTATAATCGGCCCCCAAACCCTCTTCTATTTTGGGGGGGTTCCTTATTACAATTATAGTATAATGTGCCCCCAAGCGCCTATTCTGATTTATTAGGGCCTCTAGTGGGAGCTAGGATTAGGGGGACCCTTGGGGATATAGACCCTCTGAATAAGGTCCCTTTTAAGAGAGCCCAAAGTAGGGTTCAGAAGGGGTACTCCTTAAGGGGTACCCCTAATAATACTACCCAGGACAAGAAGGTCAACTTGGTGTTCCGCATCAAGCCGGACGTGGAAGAGCACGAGAATAAGTACGCAAGGCAACTCCAGGCTGACTACGAGTCTAGGTTCCCCAGTAGTACCCTTTTGCCCTTTTTGGTTTGGGGTCTCCTTATTGAAACCAAATAGTAGGAAAAAGGGCACCCTTATTATTAAGGTGTTACTGGAGAACCCAGGAGTCCTTGGTCCACAACATCAACGATGCCAGTCAGAAAATCAGCGATCTCCGGGCCAGGCTCTGGAAGATGGAAGACTTTGCAAAGCAGTTCATTGCCCTCCCCTCCGGCGTGTGGAACAAGATCGATGCGAACTGAGGCCCTCATAGATAAGTGTTTAAGATCTACTTTTGACTCCAGGGAGAATCTCCCACCTTTTCCCCTGAGGTAAGGTGCCTCGTCACCTGGCCCGGTTTTGCACGGTTTTTGTTGTGCACACAAGAGGCACGATACCTGGGAGTATCAGGAACGATGGAGTCCCCATGAACGCGAAAGAGACCCTCATGAAGGGCCCCGGATCTGAATACCTCTGTAGCAATGGCTTTCCTGGCCCCAAACCCTAAACCCTAAACCCTAAACCCCTAACCCTAAACCCCAAACCCTAAACCTAAACCCTAGACCCCTGGTTTCCTGATGCAGCCCTATTTCAGCTCACTTCTTGCTCCTGTCACAGTGAGAGGCCCGGCCCTGTCCGGAACATAAGACCACAGGTGCTGAGGCCGACAAAAGACTCAGTTTCGCTGGGCGCAAAGGTCCTAGGGTCCTAGGAGAGTTCTATGAGGGTCTCAGCAGGTTGCTGTGGGGGTTCTTGAAATTTCGGGTTAAAAGGTGTTTCGGGTTAGGGGCTNNTACCCCTAATAATACTACCTATATACCTAGATTAAGTCTGACAACAGCAAGGAACTTGAAAGTTCTCGAGTTCCTGAAGGTTTCCACGGGTTTATACAGGTGCCATAATGGGTCTATGCAGTATTTTTTCGGATTTAAGGTTTGATATATAGAATTAGGAAAAAGTTGGTCTTTCCGATAGTTGTTGTTGGCGGCAACCATGCCAGCACGGTAGTAGTAGTGCAGATAGGAGCCACAGCGGCAACAGCAGGATGGGCAGTTGTGCAAAAGCGCTTATCATGTAGAAGCCTGCGCACTCATGAATATCATCCCTTACGGTTCTTTAATATTTCTTTTATTCATATAATTTCATATACTAGAATTTCCCTTACGGTTCTTTAATGTTTCTATAATTCATATACTCGAGTTTACCACAAAATCGTATTCGAGTCGATAAGGACCCCCATGATGCTATGTTAGCCATTCGTGGTAAGATACCCTAAACCCTAAGCCCTATGAAAGGCTCTTAGGGGGCGACAGCCTCAACCCTAAACCCGACACCCTTAAGCCCTAAATCCACCCTAAACCCCTAAACCCTAAACCCCTAAACATGGGCCCTCACGGTCCCTTAGCCTTCAAGCTCTTGCGATAAAGATGCTTATATACTAGCTGTAAGCTCTATACGGTATGCTATAACCCTAAACCGTAAACCCTACTAAACCCTGAACCTACGTAACAGACTATATCATACAACGCTGTGCATATGAGCAGTTCTCTAATCCAGGGTCTCGTTTTAGGTCCAGAAAACAGTAGGACACCCATATAAAAATTCCCTCAAAGCTACCCTAATTTAGAGATTTACCCATCTGAGTTCAGGGCTCCAGTCTGCGCTTGGAGCCGTAAGCAAAAGCCGTCAAGAAGGAACTACGGTTTTTGGGCATTGGGATTTGGGTTTAGGGTATAGGGTTTTGAGTTGTAGGGCTTCGGGTTTAGGGGTTTGGGTTTAGGGCTCTAGGGTTTAGGGATTTTCAAGCTCAGGGTTTGGAGACTATGGCTTCGCCAATTGGCAAAAGGCTTTAAGACACAGAGTCTTTTCCATGCTGCGGATTCCGGAGGTGCGGTTGATGATATACATCCTGCATTAACCAGAGCAAGGATTTTCGTCGAGTTTCGGTTGGGCAAGGTCTCTTGAATTGCTGTAGCATGGTCTATTGAAGTCCTCCCAAACCGCGAACCTTAAACCCCAAAACCCTAAACCCTAAACCCGAAACCCTAAACCCGAAACCCTAAACCCTAAACCCTAAACCCTAAGTTGGACTTACGGGCCGGACAACGACTCCAACAACTTGCTGACCACTGAGGCCCCTATACCGCCCATAGTCGCCTCCGTTGTAGTCCCTTTTTTGGTTTAACCCGTTATGTGTTTAGGATCAACCAAAAGGAACTAGAATGGAGACTAGAGGTAGTTCCTTTGTGTAGCTGTTGAACTCCGCCAGGATTTTTCTTGGGCCTCGGGCGCCACGCCTCTGCTGCTGGCAGTGCAGGCCGCAGGTGGACCCTGGCAGAAAGAAGGGGTTGGGGTTCAGATTTAATTTGGGGCTTAGCTTAAACCCTAAACCTAAACCCTAAACTGTACCCTAAACCCTAAACCCTGAACCCTAAACCCTAAACCCTAAACTCTAAACTCTAAACTCTACGTAAACTCTAAACTCTAAACCCGAACCCTAAACCCCTGATGCAAACCCCCAAACCCTAAGCCCTGGATCCTAGGATTGGAGATTCGCTGATCCTTCATCTCCCGTCGGCTTTCCCTAAGGGTTGCGGATAGTAGTTTTGTGGCCTAATGTTTGGGAGAGTATATGATTATTAGGCCCAATAATAAGGTCCTTTGGTTGCGGATAGTAGTTTTGTAGCTTAATGTTTGGGAGAGTATATGAACCCTAAACCCTAAACCCTAAACCCTAAACCCTAAACCCTAAGTATATGATTATTAGGTACTTGGACCCTTAGGGTTTGTGTTTGGGGATCAGGGTTCAGGGTCTTGGTGATAGCGCGACCGAAATTGCCAAGAGTAGTAGTAGTAGTAGTAGTAGTAGTAGTAGTAGTAGTAGTAGTGGTAGTAGTGGTAGTAGTGTAGTAGGGTTTAGGGTTTAGGGTTTAATGGTACAACGCAATTCCTGTAGCTAGTGAACTCTGTTGTTTCAAAACAGGTTTGGGATGCTGCTCCACGGTTTCGAAGCTAAGCTGAAATTACGCGCACTTCCTGCCCTACTACGAAATCGTTTCGCTTCCTTCCGCTCAGCACTCTGCCTTCAGATGCAAGCCGGAACAAGTAGTAATTTTTATTCCCATAACTTATAGTCCTTATATGCTCGTTCATCAGTATCGTGAAGCCTTCAGCTAAATAGAGAATTGTTAGGGTACCTGTATGTAGAGTTTGTCTTTCCACAAGAAGCTCGCAGGGCGGGGTGGCGTGGCTTCGAATGCAGATGAGGTCAGCTGGGTCAGTGATGCGAAAGCTGGGTCAGTGATGCGTGCATGTTCACCATATCCGCATCCCTCCATCATGATACCTGAAGCAACGAATAGGCATTTTAAATCTTGTTAAGGATCCCTTTATCATTTGCAGTATGCAGTATGCGAGTGCTCCCCAAGTATCTTCAAGCCAGACCCAGGATCCCTCTTCAATTCCGGGATACGGTCTAACTACTGCCCAAACCAAAAAAATTACCTTAAATCACTGTCTGCTTGCTTATCGGAGTCTCCGGCAGGTCGCATCTAGAGACAACGCATCAGGGGGGAGGAAATTGACAGAGTCTCTTCTATTAGCAATGTGGATTTCGGGTGTTGCGCCCTAAACCCTAAACCCAATCCCTAAACCCTAAACCCTAATACTCGTGATTGTTTGTTCTATGGTCAACATGTGTTGTTTAACTGTTGTGTTACGGCCCTTGAGGAAAGTAGGAGTCGATGAATCCGTAATTTGCTGGAGGGCCCCGTTTAGGATCCTTTTAGCAAGGGTGCCATACTATTGTTCGGACCTAAAAGGGGACCCTATCCAGCATGTCCCAACCGCAGATCTATGAGTTGTTCCCTCGCGAGTTTAGGGTCTCGAGGTCCAAACCACGGTATGAAGTTTACATACTTCGGCCTCCAGCTAGTAAATCGCACCTCTTTCCGGGCCAAGGCATGTCCAATCTGAATGCTGAGATCTTGTTTCGAAGCGGTCTCTGCGGCATAATTGACAAAAGCCCAACAACTTCAGAACTTCAAAAGCATACACCCCCTGCCCTGCACAATCCGAAACCCTCCCAAAGCCCTCAAACTAGCCCTGAACCCTAAACCCTAAAACCCTAATTATTACTTGGCTCAAAATAGCGCAGAAAGCTGGAATAGTCTGGTCTTCGGGCCAAGAGGCCTCAAAGCATGAATCCTCCTTCATGTCCTTGAGTGTTCTCCCGATACCCCAAGACCCTAGACCCTGAAATCGAAACCCTAAACCCCGAAACCCCCAAACCCTAAACCCTCTACCCTCAAAGCCCGAAGCTCTCGGAAAAATCCGTATCATGCTGAGACCGGTGCTCAAGCCGTCGATCTCCTGTTGAGCCACGGCGCCAACCCAGAGGTAGGGTTTAGGGTTTAGGGTTCAGTTTCAGGGTTATCAATATTCTCCTTTAGGGCTTCGGGTTTAGGGTTTAGGGGTTTAGGGTTCCTCCTGATTAATTATAGCTATACAACGACATACTCCCAACACCCATCCTAAGTCTTCAGGCCACTGTGCTTCTTAGTCAGTGCTCCTTGGAGCGTTCTACAACAGTTCCCATAAGGGTTCAGTATACCCTACACTCTAAACCCTAAACC